CGTTGCATTAAAATTTTTAAGCGACTACAAAATTTAATTGAATTTAGTAATATGATACCTCATCTACCTACGAAATTATGAAAATGTGTTTTACACAAATTATATTAAGATAAATTTTAATACTTAATCCGGACGGTACATATTAAATTTAAAAACAGTATATGAATGTAAAAATAAACAAAACAAAAATATTAAAATTTGAAAATGATAATCCTACAGAAAAAGTAGTGTTTATGAAGTCTTGAAATTTACGAAAAAATAATGATATAATTATTGAATTATTGGATAATGCCGAAAAAGCAGATTGTTTTGCAGGAAATCTAAACACATTGAGTTTGAAATGCAGTGAAGCATAGGAGCAGTGACTAACAAATTATTTTTTATTTTTTTGCTTTGGTCATAAATCTACAGCCAATTAGAGGGATCGAAGAATTAATTTAATGCGGTCAATTTCACGCCTTAACTACTCAATAGATAATCATGAAATTTTGTAGACACATCGTCAAGGGCACAGAAAAGTATATAGGGTACGTACCTTTTATACAGAAAAAAAAATAGAAAAATTAGTTTTATGTGGTCGTCGATGATCATTAAGCGAAGCCGGTAAGATCTAGTTACTTTAAAAAGAGTTATGGATTAATATTCGAAATCATCATTATCATAAGGTTATTAGTCCTAAAATTGATTGATCACGCACCTCCACTTTTTCTTATCATGAGCTAATCATCGTATTTATCTAAAATTAGTACATCCCACATCTTGAATTATTTGTAATCTAATCTAGGTCTGCCTATACTCTATTTAACTTAAACAATAAAGTTTAAATGCATTACCTTGCTTTTTGTAAAAATATTTTTCGAAGAAGAAAACAATTATAAAGAATTAAGGGCGCTTTATTTGAGACACTAATAATTTCACTAACACATTGAATTCATGCTACAAAAATTAGAAGTATCTGCCTGCTATTTATTGTCATTCAAATTCAATTGAACGATATAAGTATTTGAAAATGGAGTTACAAGGATGTTCCTCGTCTTCCGTAGCATATGTAGTAACATGACGGAAGAACGACATCGTTTAGAGGCAATCACTGCTGGAAGTAGTTTAATAAATGTTACTCCTAATATGAAGTTATGCGATCCCTGGGAGTTTAGTTTATGACAAAAGAGATCGTAATAATGTACTCATTTGGATGAGTTCGCTCGCTAGAATCTGCTGGATAAAAATGACACAATATGTGCTCGTAGATGTTTTCTTAGACGAAATACATTACATCTTCAGCTTCAAACACAAATAAAAAGTCTAACAGTTGAACGTATTAAAAAAGATTTTTCTTTTTTCTACGTTATTACGACTAACTTCCTTCTATATTTTGAATCATGCTCAAAACAAGAACGATAATGTTTTCCAAATTACACTGCTTCTTCATGAAAGAACAAAAGTAGAGGGTGATTTTTAACGTGTGAAAATATTTTTAAGGAATACAACCAGTATATAACAGTTTTATGCAATTTATCTGTCAGAAATGAAGTTCAATTTCGGATAAACATCGTAAACTCTCTAGTGTAACGAAACTCTTTGTTATGGAAAAGTTCGTATTACGTAGGCATTACTTGAGCTTGATTGGTTTGCCTTGTAACTCATACACTGTTGAGCGAAGAAGTCGAAGATGGGTGTACTCTATTATATCCTTTCATGAAACGTAAAAAATTTACAAATAGCTTCAGCCATTTCTTAATACATATATAAACAAGCCATGGTGTAGATCTGGACTCTGTGTCGCATCACTGGAGCGATCCTTGAGGTTCACACGAATAACTTCGATCGACACACACACACACGATGAGGATACCGTGGATAGAGAAGGTTAGAAATGAAGAGGTATTAGAAAGAGTACAAGAACAAAGGATTCTACCGAAGTCAATAAGAAATAGTCCAGATAGGTTAGTAGGACACCTTCTTAGGTATGAAGGTCTTGTCAGAGACATATTAGAGCCAGAAACGGGAGTTAGAAGGGGTAGAGGTAGATCTAGATTAGATTACTGTTCGTAAATAGTTAATAATGTGGGATGTTCTAGTTTTAGGAAATGCGAATATTAGCTCAGGATAGGAAAGAGTTAAAGAGCTTATCCAACCTAACTTAGGACTAACGACCTTGTAAAGATGATTTATTGTACAGCTTTATTAAGTAGATACATGGATACCTACATAGGTAAAATACGGTAAAATAAAATAATGAAGTTCTCTTCCTTTAAATCTATGCTTTCAACATATCCTATTCATGGCAAATTGATATAACTAGCTAGATATTGATTCGTTTGCTCTATTTCAAAAAGTTTGAGCAAGTATAATACATTGAAACGATAAGATGATCATTTGAATATCCGCTTCCTAAAGTAACTTTTAACTAAGGACATTCTGATCGAAACAAATATCCAGTAACTAACTCTGTTAATAATGTTGGCTTCCTTTCATAGAAGGACGTTGAAAGACGGATATTTAATGAACAAGCAACTTAAAAGCTAAAATGATGGAGATTACGAAGTTATGAAATAAGTTCTAACGGTAGACATCTTTTCCGTAAACGTTTTAATCTATGGAGTTATTGCATTTTTAATTAACGTCTTTTCAAAAGATTAAATGATACTGTTTTTGAAGTATTAATTACACTACGAAATAGAGACTTGAACTTGTTACTTATTTAATAAAGAAACTATTTGCTCCTGGTGCTAAAATGTTATTACATCTTATTTGAATTATCGATAGACGTGGAAGTTGCAATTGGGTAATTTATTAATAATAAATTACAATATTGTTTTGGCCAAGGACTTTTATCAAAGGGTCTATTTATTCCGGCTAGAATTGGAAAGGGAGACAGGTAAGGTATAAGGCAGAGCCGGGCAAACTCGGCTCTTTTGACACCCGAGTGCTCCTTAGGTATAGCCAAGGAGCTCCTCATTGTTCCTTAGAGAGCGAGTGAGATGACTGTTTCCTTTTCTTATTCCTTCCATTTCGTAGGTGAGTCCCCTCTTCCATAGCCGAACCCAATAGTATTGCAGCCGTAGTCCGGCATGCTACCCCTGAGCTGCGAGGCGTTTATTAAAAATTTTTCGTAGGTATTATTTAAGTTGCTTCGCTAGTCTGCGAGATGGAGGGGTTGATATGGGAGTAGAAGGGAGAAGAAAAACAGAAAGCAATATGGCTCATTACTCAGTACTCTCTCGTACTCATTGAAGTGTATGGAGTGATCCAACTAACCTCAGGTAGCGGCTCCTACGAAGTTAAAGTTTGCCCGGCTCTGGTATAAGGGTATACTCGGAGAGTCAATCAGATTATACTGCGGTCTGAATTTTTTATAAAAAAAGTATTTATGAACCCCCTAATGACTACCTTGCTTGTGTGCAGAAAAACATGTAACAAAATGTGCCAGGATTACCACATCAGATCGTTATAAAAAAACTCATAAGGCACGTCGCTGATTGCTTTTGTGGGGATTCTCAAGAGGATGATATCCTTCTATCGGATTGTTCCTCATTTGTCACACGAGGTCCATACACTGCATGAGGCACGCCTTATATAAATTCGTATTTCTATAATTGCATTGTCCTTTTATCGGCATGTTGGCATGTTCCTCGTTGCCACACGCTACATGTCCTTTATAAAACCTAGTCGAGATGCAACCGTAAGTAATGCTGAGTTGCATTATCCCTCTATCGTCAGGTCCCCCGTTTGTCACACGAAGACCACACGTTGCATGAGACATGTCCCCTTTAAATTCTAGTCGAGATACAATCGCAAGTTGTGCTATAATTGCATTATCTTTCTATCGGCATGTCCCTCGTTTGTCACACGAAGCCCACGCGCTGCATAAGACATGCCCCCATAAATTCTAGTCGCGATGCAACAGTAAGTAATACTATAATTACATTAACCTTCTATCGGCATGTCCCCCGTTTGCCACACGAAGCCCACACGCTGCATGAGACATGTCCCCTTTCAATTCTAGTCGGGATACAATGGTAAGTAGTGCTATAATTGCATTAACCTTCTATCGACATGTCCCCCTTTTTTTCACATGAAACCCACCCGCTACATGTCACACGCTCCCTATAAATTTTAGTCGAGATGATATATACTAATTTAATAGACTCATATGGAAACCCCACATTAAATCTTTAGCATCAGATTCCAGTCCCTCCAAAATACCTAATAGATCTCGCATAAAACTAACTTTCTATTATGTATTTATGTAAAAGAAAATGAGAACTAATAAATTCACATATAATAAACAGAAGTATGAAGAAACATACAAACATTAGATATTGAAAATAGAGCGGCAATATGTATGCAGAAATAATTGTTGGATTAAGCCCGAATGCGGTTACTCTTTGACGTTCATTTAGGTTGATGGATACTAATCCATAAATTAAAGAGAAAATGTTGCGCCTTTTTTACTCTAATTATGATGTATGGTTTAATGGCATGACAAAACTTCCAAAGGCTGCCAGAGTTCAAAGTTAATTTAACCCCAATTGCTCCATTCGTGTAGTTTTAGCTAAAAGAATGTTTCACTTTTATCACATCGAAAAATCTAGTCTCGTTATCCGTATGTACGTGTGGGAGGGTGGACTAAATTACTCATTTAAATATTCACATCTCAAAAGAATAAAATGACAATGATCAAACACAATATAACGGGATGTCACTTGGGAGGCAGTCCACATACTCCTAATTAATTAATTAATCGTACAACCTGTTTAGTTGTTTAAAATAATTTCAAATTGTGGTTTGAATATCGTACAACAGCAAGTACTTTCATCTCCTTTTTTACATTTTACAATTAAATTGGTGGCAGTATTACTGTAGGTATCTATAGGTACATCAAAAAAAAAAAAGTGATGTACCTACTGGTCTTATATGTATTTAAAGCAAGATTCACTGACTTGGCAACGTCTAAGGTAACACTATTTAATTATACTAAATAAATTATTTTTACTTACCAGTGCTTTCTGATCCATGCACGTCTGGACATGCCTGATAACTGAGTAACAACCGACTTTCTTCTGTACAGGCGTCAACGCTGGACACTGGCGATCGGCATTCACCGTGACCCCGGTTGTAGGTAAACACGAAAGGTCCTCGAAAAGGGCAAGGTACCGGAATGGCACCAACCCGAAACATTGAATACAGGAGGGCGTCGCCTGTTATGAAACTACATAGTGAGGCCAGCGAAGTTCGTGGATGACAAAAAGCTAAAAACAAAAAGAAATAATTTATAGAGAGAATTTCTAAAGGTAAATTTTTTTTCAATGTAAGGATTTTCATAACGATTGGCATTTTTTATACGATAATTTTTGTAACGAGAAGGTACATATTTTCACCGATAAGGATCTATTGCGATAAGATTTTTTGGTGATCGGGATTTAAGTAACAGTAGACCAGATAAAGCGGTTTACCTTAGAAGATTTTCTACACAAGGGACTTATATAATGACGATTTTAAACGCAAGAGATTTTCTGTAACTGATAGATTTATTCTGCGACAAAAATAATTTCCGATGGGTTATTTTCGTGACGTATAATTTCAGCGGATACTTGCTACGACTAGAATCATTAATGAGTTAGATTTCCTATCCCGGAGATATTCAATGCCCGTGACCTTTTATCACTAGAATTGTCAACTGCAGGGATTTCTGATAATTGATGTTTTTAACAAGTATATGTTTTGTGATAAGAATTTCTACAAAGAGGATTTTTAGATAGGGTCCTTACAATTACTTTTCGAGGTTAAGGTATGCAATTATGAAGACGTTAGATGACAAAAGGATTACAAAGAAAATTGAGATTTCCATGTTACACACTTCTGTGTGATGAAGATTTTAAACGATTAGGACTTTCAACGATAACAATCTCTTGCGATTTCGGTGATGAGAGATTTTCAGTTAAGACTCATTAGGACGAGGTGGGGGGGATCGTTTATAACTATTTCTAATGTCAGAGATTTTCTGTAATTAATATTTTCAATGATAAAGACATGGAGATTATCTGTCCTAGAGATCTTCAACATCCAGGATCCTTTATTTCTACAATTGTTAATTAAAGGATTTCTGACAATTCAGATTTTCACGATAACGCCTTTTGTGATAAGAATTTCTACTGTCGAATATATTTCACGTTCTTATATCTTTCATGAAGATGATCTTTACCAATAAAATTTGTTTGTAATGTAAAGGGTCTTTCGAGTTGAAGATTTTCAGTTATGAGTTTACCTGGAATATTTTTAATTACTGAGATTTCTAATGCCACACTTTTTTGGAAGGAATATTTTAAACGATTAGGGCTGATAGTAATCTTTTACGATAAAACTTTTCGTAAATTTTAAAAGTCTAAGACGAGGTTGATTTTTAATATTAAATGGAAAGTACCTTCAACATTTTCTATATCATAATTTTTTGTGAATGATATTTTCAACGATAAGGATCATTTCTATCAGGGAATTTCAGAGAAGGCTTGCTATAACGATAACTTTAACTAACAACAAAATTTTCTGTCCTTAAAATTTTCAACGTCCAGCACCATTTATTACTAGAATGGCCAATTTTTAATTACAAGAATTTCCAATACCCAGTAGAATCTATTGTAACTAACACGAAGATTGTATGCTACAAGTGAAATTTTCGTTGTTAAAATTCTTTCATTCTGAAATTTTTGATGGTCTAGGATATTAGTTTATTATGACAACGGCGTTGCTTTAGATATACAGGGTGTCCCATTTATAATAATTAAAAAAAAAAAAACATGGCTTCCTGACACAAAACACAACAAAAAAGTTCTATACAATTTTTCAATTCAGTGACAATTGAGCTCGCAAATCGTCTTTGTAAATTTGAACGTACAATTGTTTCATTAAAGGCCTGGATCTAGGCGACTAGTGTGGATGTAACAAGTACCTACCGGGAAGAAGCCGAATGCACTTCCACCTTGTAAAAAAGTAAAAGTGAAAAAGAAAAGCGTACCTTTTATAAAAAATGTTGAAATTATCTGCCATTCGCTGTACCCAGTTGCTGCGAATTTTGGCCGATATCGGGAATATTTCAAATTACACGAAAGGTATCAGTAATGTAACTCACTACCAGCTGACGGTTGAATAAGAACCCTACTAGAAACCACTATCACACTACTAACTGTCCTTATTGTAATAAGCAATTCACTAATTTGATAGAGATTACAACAAATTATCAATCTCATACAAAACTGATACCCCCACTTGCAAACCCGGGTTTATTTTTGTGTTTAGCTAGTTTAATAGTTCACGTGAAAGCGGTAGTAGGGCATCAGCAAATTAAATTTGTCTTCGTGTTATCTGAAATCTGAAAAGACGTGTTTTTGGGACCCCAATTACATTAATATCGTATTCTTTACAGCAAATGTTGTATGCAGTGGCTTGCACGCTACAGAACAAATGACCTCGTTTAAAACACTTGGTTGGCGTCTTTGCCAAAATTTAATCTTGCCAGTATTTTATAGCGTTAGATAACACGTTGCAGTGAATACGTGGGGACGGATAATATGCACGAATCGATATAGAAGCAGTCTACTTAACCAACAATACAAAGTAAGTGGATTCCGTCAGTTCCTACAAGTGTATTTATATCTAAAAATAATATATAGTCAAAGGGAAGGGGTCTAACAAATCATCAAATGTCATTTAAAAAGAGCGGGGGGGGGCTTTTCAATTTTGAGAACATACATTATTATACACAAATAGTAAACGATTCATAGTTTTTCTTTTTACTTTTTTGTGCTGCCCTATTTTTCCAGAGTAAAGAGATAAAGATATGGGGATTACATCACATTATCAAATCATATTAAAACAGAGGGATGGGTCAAAATTAAGAAAAAAACACCTAAGGTTGTTGGACGCCCGCTAAGAGAAAATTCGAGTTGAGGAAAATTTCTGTTTTACAATATTAACGGTTTAAATGATGTTTAACGAATGGTTAAAATATGACCGGCTGAACCAATGACTAAACTGTGCAGCGGTAGTATAAGGAACTTTTGAAAACTGGCGTTGCAGGCATTTTCTCATTTTCTAAATATTGCAGTTTTTCTAGACTAGTAGTGGTGTTTGCACTATATCACTAGCTGCGAAGATTGAATATGATTCATATTTTTCTGTTTGAAGTGATTGAGATATAGTTTTCTATCTTTATGTTATTGTTTCTTCAGTTTAGCAACAAATAATTCTTCTATATGCTTCCTTATTTACCTTTGTCACCCGTTTTAATTGGAAAAAGGACACTGATGCTAAAATAGTTTGTTTGGCGTGAAAGATCAGAACCAAAATAGGGTTGCAAATAATTATTAATGTAAAATCAACATCAATCATTTTATATCAAAATATTTACAACCGCATTTTGTTTCCGATCTTTTACTCATTGTAAAAAGAGAAAGAAATGGAATCCTTAGTTTCTTTAGGTTTGGGTTTATCTAATAAGTGAAGTTTTTGGAATCGTTTTTTAAGAATTTTGGATTATAGGAATTTATTTGCACACCTCAATATCTTGTAGCTTTCAGTTTTACACAGTTGGCAATTCGATATTGTTTTGTCGTAATTCATAGAATTTCGTAGTTACTTGCTAAAGGTACGATAAGTTTTTGACAGATGCTGATATCAATTTGGAACTTCAAAAGTCCATGGACCATGAAATTGAACCTGGAAAACAATATCGATCCAATATTTTATATTATCCATTCCCAAGGAATTTAGAATTTTTTGGACTCTTCAATTAAAGAATTAGAAGGCATTCAGGGAATGTTTTTTTTGTCCCCTTTTTAAGCTTCTAATATCTTCAATAGTCAATGTGAACAACTTTCATTCATCATTTCATATAATGTTTTTTCGGTGATACTAGCAAAACCTTTAACGTAAAAGTGTATATTACATTTTATAAATAGAAAATACGTTTGGAAAAGAAATGGGTAAATAAATTAGATATTGTCTAAAAAGTTATGTCTGGAAAGTATGACGAGCACTTTTTACCCTAGTAGCATGAACTACTTTATTGTGCAATGTGGAAGTTATGAGACAATTAACTATTATTTTGTGCCTTTCCTGTCAAATGCTGATAACACCCGTAGTTTTTGTTCAACTTCACGCAATGCACTCAAATTATGAAACACCACGCTTTTGTTAAACAGAAATAAAAATTTACGACAATCCTTCGTTTTCCCGAATATAAAAATTTGAACTGATTTGACACAAGTGTTAGATACTAATTTTGTAATAGAATCATATTTATTAGAAATCAAAAGTATTTACGCTGTTACACTCTGCATAATATAGCGAACAGAGAGTATAATATCTGTGTTCGCTGATGATATAGTTCTAGTACATAATTAATGCAACCAGATGGCACGATAAACAGTATAATTACCCAACAGTTGTAGATCTAAGATGATATCCATATGTCAACGGAATTGTATCATAAGTAACAAGAAGGCATCCAAAATTGTATAACAGTACCAAGAAATATAAAATAAATAAACTGTTAGGCTGTTGAAGAATTTAAAAAAGAAAATCACGGGGCGATTTACTCGATGGGTATTGTATATTGAGCTGGATGATTTTTTTAAATTTCCGTCTACAGAAAGGAACTCTTTTGTGTGTAGAAGTAATAAGTACTGTGCGCATATACTATTTATAGTTAATTGTTCAATGTCACGAAAATGATATTTTTTCTTGTTGCATGGAAAAAATAATAATTACTGTTTGTTGATATAATCAGAAACAAACCGAATAGCGTGAAATTGTTCAGAATAAATGCTGAAATGTAGTTCACTCTGAAAAGCATTTAGTGACTTTTCAGCACGAAATAAATTATAAGAAACAAAAAGTGTTCATAGAAATCAATAATATAGCTTTGTTAATTTTATTAGTGTCTCTTTAGGTTTTATATCAGCATATAGATAAAAATACTGTTATTATTTAAACAGTTAGGTTGGGTTAGGTTAGGTTCACTGAAAATTAAAGTGTGACATATTGTCTTGAATTTAAAATATATTTACTCTGTTCAAATACTATCTACAGCAGGCAAAAATATGCGTTTACCGAAGTAAAGAGTATAGTTTATTAGTTGAGGAAAATAGCACAAATGGCGCGGTAAACGCCATCTGTAGGACGATGCTACATTTTAGGATTACGTATGCTCCAACAAGGTCCACTTGTGTGAATATCTACTTGCTGAAACGAA